AGTGACAGCCTTCAAAGTCCCTTTCAAAGTTAAAAGAGGACGCTGTGAAGAGGATTTTGCATACGGCTGTAGGTCTTCAGACAAAAAAAAGAAACATGAAATTGTGTTAATAAAGTGTTTGCCGCATATGATGAGAACCCCCTACACCGCAAGGTACTTCTTATTTGTTGCGCTTATGGTTCTTGAAGTATCTTTTTATAAAACAACTTTACGGCCATGAGAATCGAGGCAACCCATCCATTTGGTTTAAAGGTTACTATGAACTATTGTTTTATGTAGAAATTATCCATTGCAACGATCGCATACCCGTTAAGTTGCGTATCGATTGCCCGCGGCAAACTGTCGAACATTGGATCGCGCGGCAGCCGCGCTCAATGGATACTAGGTACTTGCCGCGCGAGCCAACCCGTGCTCGAACACGCCGCGGTGCGAACCAATTTCTGTCGGTTTTTGGAGCGCGGCAAAGGAAATGCTCGCACCAAGTTGAGACGTTTGTGTCGTTATTCGAGTTGAATGGTGCGGCAAAGTGACGTTTTGTGGCAGGCTGCTCGTGCACCTAAAACGTCCGTGGCTCGCGCGGCAAATGAAGGTTTTTTGCCGCGCGCGGCTGCCTCGCGAAATCGATACGCGGCTTTAGTATTGCCGGCTCTTGGACTATGAAGATCTGTTTTCATATCCCAAGAGAAACTCGTGACGTAAAATGAGTACAACAGTTAGCAACAGTGAGGACTCGGAAAGGCTTCGCTCTCTGACAATCAGCGCTTTTCCCCGTGCGGGTGGCGATTTAACATAGTATACCATATAGAGGAGCCTCGAGTATATAAGCTCCGCCTCCAAGCCTAGTCCAGCTTTGGTTCAGTATTGAAAATGTCTGTAATGCGGTATGGAATGTAGTTAGGATGCGCGTCAAATGCGGTATAGTTTGTATTCAGGTTCTCAGAAACGCGATAACGCCGAAAGTATCCAGGGATTCTAGAACCAACGATTCGTATACAATCGTTGATTTTCATTTACTTCGCACTTCGCGATTGTTGCAAAATGAAACCAAAGCCAGATGCGTGAGCCGAGTAGGTTAGAGATTTAATTAAAAAAATTACAAGCTGAGGTGAAAATAGAAATTTTGGAATTTAAAAGTTGTCCAGAATATAAGGCTCTAATTAGATAATTAGATGCAAATGATGGGGAGTGATTTTTCAGAAGAAGTTAAGAGTTTTATGGAAAAGCTAAGTGCCGATACATAGAAACTGGATAGTTAGGAGAACGTTTCTGAATGTACAAAAATTAGCTTTTCACAAAAAAAAATTCTGTCCAAGTCTAGCTTAACAACTTTAACAAGAATGCACAGAAAAAGGGCAGTTCTAATTTGCGAAACAGGGAAAAGGGATGCAATGCACATATTGACATCAAAATTTAAAAATTAACTAAAGCCACTATCCGACGTAACAGCTATTTGAAAAATAGTCTGAATGCCCAAATACAGGTTTGTTATAAAAGTTGATATAAATAGTTATCCTGCGTGCGAGCCTATAACGCGATTACGTACTATACCCCATTTTGCGCGATTACATTCTTTACCGCATTGCAGCCATTTTTAATACTGAACCAAAGCTGGACTGGGCTTGAGGGCGGAGCTTATAGATTCGATGCTCTCTACACGGTATACTATGTAAAATCGCGTCTGGGTGGTCAGTGTGAAATTGGCGACCGGGCAGAAGAGGTATGATCATTAGGCTTTTTGTTCAACGGCAAAACTTACTTCTGATGACACTCTCCAAACTCGTCGCAAATATCGCCTGGCAACATGGAACAGAGGTCTCCAAGCTACCAGTAAGCTCAATATTCTTGAAAAAAGAGCTTACAAGAAGTAATATTGCGATCGCTGGCCTATCTGAGACTCATTATAGGGACGCAGGACACTTCTCTTCCAGCAGTGAAAATTTCGTTCGCTTTCCGGGCAATTTGACTCGAAAGTATCAATGGTGTTAGCTTTTGGGTGGCGAGAGTTCACGTAATAGATGACGAAACTGTGGAATCATTTTATAACAACCTTGAGTAGACACTTGAATCTCTATCAAATCGCGAGATGAGATACTCCTTGGAGATTTTAACGGTAAAGTTGGTCAAACAGTCGAAGATGAACATCTTAGGATGCATATTGGTAAATTCGGTCTGGGTGCCAGAAACGAAAGGGGCCAACGTTTGTTCCAATTTTGTATTGACCACAGCTTTTCTATTGCCACCCACGATGGAGATCATCTATTAGTCTTTGTAAAACTCTACCAGGTTCCTATTATGGCTCAGACCATCAACTCCTTTGTGAGCTTCAGCTTAAGCTGAAGATATTTCCACGTTCTAAACGGAATCAGAGATAGTTGACTCTGCCTCTTTTCGGTCAAAATGTTCTCAGCTTTTTCGGAGTGACTCGATAACGGATGCATCTCTTTCTAATAATATGTGGTTAACATTTAAAAATGTTCTTGGTCAAGCTCCCGAACAAAACGCAGCACTCGACCCTAAAAAGCCATGGATTACCACCCATAGATTGTCTGTCATTAAGGCACGTAGAGAGCTTAAGATCTCAGGTCTGGATTCTGATGCAAAGCACAATCAGTGTAGACAATTAGCACGTGAAATCTTCAGGAATTATGCTAGAGGATACAGGCCCAGGCTAAAACAGGCCATCCAGGGGAAATGTTCCTAAAGATGAAATGTCTCTGTCGAGACTTTAAACGCAAAACTTGGTCCGTTGAGAACGCGAATATGGACATCTCATATCACCAGCTTCATTGGTGACATACAATATTGTGTTTTGTTCAATTACTCACGTGAGCCGGATATTCTTTTTTCGGAAGTGGAACATGCCGTTAGGAAACTAAAAGCCGGTAAAGCGACAGTGCTTGGATGATGACGGGCAACATTTTTCACATCGTATTTATCAGAAAGTTTGGTCCTCCGGTGTCTGATGGCCAGACGAATGGAGCACTTCGCAAGGTATTATGCTGCGTATTTTGCAATCTCGTTTGAAGGGTTCTGTGTACTGCCAAATATCTCCAGAACAGAAAAAGGCCAGCTAGAGAGCATTATACTTTCTAGTCGTTATCTACTTTGTGGACTACTCTTAAGACATTTAACGGTGGCCTAAACTATGGAAAATTCTTCTCTCCATGGGGGTCCCTCACCTGTTGATATTTCTCATACAACAGCTCGATAAGTCCAACACAGCTCGAATAAGAATTGACGGTAATATGTCTGACCTACAACAAGAAAAGGAGTTCGTCAGGGATGTGTGTTATCGCCGATGTTGTTTTATTAACATCTATTCCGAATTTGTGATGAGACAGTAGTAGGTACTGGACGGTTGAAACGGTGTTGTAACTCTTGGTGGAATCAAGATATCTAATTTAAGGTTTATTGCCGGCGCCGACGATAACACTATTTATTGCGTCTCCTCAGGGTGAATTGTTAATCTTATTTACCATCTTAGAACAACATAATATGGCGCAGCATGTAATCTCAGTATCAACTACAACAAGCGGTTTTCGAAGCAGTTGAAACCTGCGTGTCGGCAATTTTTCAGTTCTGACTTAGTACATTTTATGAGTTCACAACATAATCCATAGTCATAGGCAGCATTTATTAGTTCCACAATTATAAATAGAAAATATAATAATCCCATTTGGACATAGAACGTGTCAATTAAAATCCTACCTAAATCTAATATTACAAACTAAATCGAATCAACTGTTTGACTTTAAAATTTGAAACTTAGAATAAGTCTGTCTGGCAAGTCATTGTGACGATGATGATAATGATGATGACCTATCAAGATTGCGCTGCCATGGGATTGATTAACAAACTTTGTCGAACTTGATGAAAGTTCTACTCAACTGGAAGGAATGGGAATGGTAAAGTGGAACTCGAAGCTTTCAACAGAACTGATTGGTATCAAGTAGGTAATGTAATATGGAAGAGTCTTGTATGTTCCAAAGATGACTTTTAACCTTTTTTCTGTCACTCAAATTTTAGAAATGTGATTCGGACTTCAGATAGTGGATCGTGAATCGAATGAAAGTTCCTGAGAATCAGTCTACTGAAAATCAAACACAGCAAAAGATCAGATAACCTGATAGAACATCTTGAAAACCACCAACAAAACTGAATGATTACATTTATGAACTCGATTATGGATTGTTTCGAGAATCAAAGTTATCCAAATATGACTATGGAGAAGTTGAGGATAAGTCTGTTTCAGATGCACTGAAAGATGTGGATTGGAATAGCGCTATGACTGAAGAGATAAAAATATAGGTAGCTAGAGGTTTTGAACAAATAGAAGAAATTGATTATGTATTTAGAAGCATTCAGTCTTATAACACGTCGTGTGTCGGTAAGAATAATTCAATTTCAAACAAAATGAAACTTACTACTTTCGATGTGAAGACCTTCATGTGGAGAAAAAAGTTTCAAGGAGGGATTTTTGTATGTATCAACCTGAAAAGATTTTATGAGAAATTCGGACGAGTCTGTAAATTGGATAAAAAGTCTTTATATGGACTTGAAAGCAAGCTTCTACAAATTGGAATGTCAGGTTTTTAACATTTTTGAAGACACTTAATATTGGATTCTCTGATGATGATCCTTGTGTATATAATAATAAGAAAAGCATGATTTTTACTTTGGGTATTCTTGAATGATGGACTTGTTGGAGGAAATGATATGATTGAAATCTTGAATAATCCAAAGCAGAAATTTGAAATAACCTTATGATAGGTAAATCTATTGTACGAAAATTCTCCTATCTTGGAATGGAAATAAAAATAAAAAAGTTCAAGTGGAATAGGTATTTAGGCACATTAATTAATTTAAATTTGTTCTTAATCTGATCTTTTTCTCGAGGCAGATGCGTAGATTTCCTTTCCTCTTGTTTTTAATGAGCCACGGACAAACACAAAATGCTGGCAACGTTGTCTGCTAAGACTACACTGGACAGGACAGCTAACAGCTGATTAAATTCAAAACTACTCTACTCTTTTCATTCAATTTTCCAAAAATGTTTATTTGATTGGGATGCAATTAAAATTATACCGAAATTAATAAAAAGTGCCGGCCTTATAAACAAATACAATCTCCTTTGGTAAGTATTTATTCTTATCGATAACTAATGTGTTGAGACTTTAGACTTTGGTTTGATTTGCAGAAATAATTCATGGAGATTATACAACATTTATGATGCAGTTTTACAGTGACCTTTGAAAGCCTGGGAGTTTTGGTTCGAGATTGAAAGCACAGGAAAATTGAATTTTAGTTAATAAACTTTATTTATTGAATTTAATCATTGCAGATTTCTAACACGAACAGGTAAACATTTGTATTTTTATCTTATCCGATCTTATCCTTATATGGCAAGAAGTATATTGTATGTAGTGAAAAGTTAGTTTAATAATCATTTTTTTTCGTAATTTTTCACTCTTTGCTAATAAATAGGCATTGTACAGTACACAGTACAGCTTTAAAGTATAAACTTGAGTAAAAAGAAAAAGCCTTTCCAAGCAAATGTTTTATATCCTAACATGTACCTTTATCACTTGTTTTCCTACCATGCAGGTTCAAAAGTGTTACAGGTTACAGTGTATAGTTTTTGGAAGATCCCAACTTTTAGAAAGCAGCCATAAAGTAGAAGTAGAGCTTCATTGGACAAGTTTTTCTAGTGCTTGGCGAACTTACGAGCGAGGCTGTAAAGTGACGAGAACAACAGAACTGTTTATGTATGCATATCTTACAAGATTTTATGTCTGATTGCTCTCGAACAGCATTGAAAAAGAATTTGATTTCCTATTTATTTTCCTAAAACCATGTAGGTATAATAGATTTGACTTTGTTAAGACCGAGTCACATCAGACAGCTATAAAAACAGTACCTACAATGCTAAAGTTACTTCACTTCTCGATAATTTACTTCTATTTATCCTAAAAATTACATACTTTTAGATTTACACCATGCCTGAACGTCTGAATATCGATGCGCCTCTATGGGATCAGAGCACTTTTGTTGGCAGATTCAAACATTTCCTTTGGGTTACAGATCCTAGAAGTTGTATTGTTGGTAAGCTTTAATACCTATGTAAATGTTGTCATACCTCTCCCATAATATTTTTACATCACCATATGCCACAAGTAATAATATACAGAGTAGTGAACAAGTAGCACATAATATGTGCACTGGGTGTCAAGTTATCAAGATTTACCCCGTGTAACTTTTTTATGTATGATCAAAAATAAAAAAGTTACAGGTGGTGGTATTTTATAACTTGACACCCCGTACCTTTTTACTTGAAGAGATACAAAAAAAAATTTAATATAAAAGTTGTTGGCATTTATCATAAAAAAATGGAAAGTTGATTTTAGAAAATATACCAAAAAATGTTACATTTCTTGCTTAATTTAAATGGAATGACCTATTTTTGAATATGTTTTTGGATTCTACATTAAATTTGAGTCCTGAAATATGTTACATGTCCTATAGTAAAATTTAGCAATTTTGGAGATATCGCTAGTCAATGATTTTTTAAAATAAATTACGAAAAAAATGATATTCCATCGTTAGAAGCTGGTAAGAGTGGTAAGTTTCCATCTAGTCTTGCCTATTAATTACTATTGTTTTTATTTATTATATTGAAAATGTGTCCAATATTGGATCAAAAATATGTTAAGTTGTAAAGTTGTTACAATCCAAATCCAAGCCTTCTCATGCCATCTGCACATAATTTCTGTACATGATTTCCAAAATTAAGGTTTTTCGAGAACAATACACCGAGTCCAACATTTGCTCTGGTGATCTGAATCTGATATCACAAATTGTGTACTTATTGCAAAGTGGATTCAGGTTACGATGAAACATGATGCACTTACATTACACTACAGAAAGTTGAGATCGAATCTGCATCCCTCTGCAACAACACACAATCATCAATGGTTCTAACAGCAGCAAAGATTTTAGGATCATCTGTGTAAAGTAAGAATTATGAATTTCTTATATACTGAGACATATCATTAATAAATAGAACAAAGAAAAAGCGGGCCAAGAATTGAGTCCTGAGGTACCCCAGAGACAGCTATACTTTTAAAAAATCTTTATTTTTGAATGTAAATTATAAACCGATTTGGTATAAACCTTCTACAACATTTGCTCAAAATGGCCACCATTTTAGGCAAGACATTCTTGATCTTATAAGGTTGTTTTCTGCTACCTCTAGCATCTCTGGAGTAATCGTTCCAAAAGGCATTTAAAATTGGCTGTTCCAAGACTTGGAGATCGAATACTGGAATGACTTAAACAATAACTTTAGTGTATCCCCACAAAAAAAAAGGTCCATAGGAGTTAAATCTGAAAACCTTGCTAGCCACCTAACAGGTCCATTGGTAGATATAACATGTTCGCCAAAAAAATTTCTGTAAATATTGCGAAACATCCCTCGTATTATGAGGCGGAGTACCATCTATTTATTTATTTATTTATTTATTTACGTATAAGAAAAATACATTTGAAGTTGAACAGAGTTTAAATCTAAAAAAATCTAACCTAAAACAATTCTCCTGGCCTTCGTCTTAAATTTATCCAGAGATAAACCAAAGAACTCAAGGCCCTCACAGAACTTATTTACATTGGCAGATATTCTATTCGCAGGACTGAATAGTAAGTACCAGGTTCGACAGTAAGGAATGTGCAGTGAAGATTTACTTCGTGTCTGATAACTTTGAATGTGTAGATTAAAACATTCAAGACATTCGTGGCTTTTTATGTAGTAGTTAAGGATTTTAAATGCAAAACAGACATCAAAATATTCCCTTCTGCGAACAAGAGTAGATAAGTCTAAATAAGTCATAGTCAGGTCATCACTGAGAATTACATCACTCAAAGAAAGTTTGTACCTTGCAAACTTGATAAATTTGTGTTGAACACTCTCAAGCCTATTGATGTGGATCTGATAGTAAGGTGACCAAACTATGCATGAAAATTCAAGAACGGACCTGACCAGTGATGTGTAAAGAATTTTGATAGGGCGTATACTTGTAAAGTCCCTTGTAGCTCTCTTAATAAAACCCAACATTTTATTAGCCCTGCCAATTACCACTTCAAAATGCTCAGTGAACATTAGCCTAGTATCTAGATAGACACCAAGATCTTTAATGATAGAAACTTCAGACAAGCGAACATTGTTTAAGTAATACTGCTAGGGAACACTATGGGTGCGTCTACTGAATCTTATACAACAGCACTTATCGATGTTGAGGGACATGTAATTAAGTTGACACCAATCGTGAACGATGTTAAGATCATTTTGCAAAATAAGTATGTCTTGAGCTGATGTCACCTGACGATACAACTTCAAGTCATCAGCAAAAAGTAAAAAATCTGAGGAGTGCAACGATACTAAATCGTTGATAAACAAGCTGAATAGAAGGGGGCCCAAGTGTCAAGCGAGAACCTTGGGGTACCCCAGAGGATGCATGGAAAAGAGAAGAAAGATAGCCATCGATCTTGACTTGTTGCATTCTGTTAGTAAGATATGATTTCATCCATGAAAGTAAATGTCCAGAAACGCCGAAACTTGAAAGCTTTGAAAGAAGGATGCTGTGATTTACCTTATCAAAGGCTTTACTGAAGTCAGTATATATTGCATGAGTTTCTGCATTATTAGCAAATGATGAATTTATAAATGTTGTAAAGAGAAACAGGTTCGTCTCAACGGATCTACCGGCTGTAAAACCGTGCTGTTGACTGATCACAATCTGATGAAATATTTTTGAGAGAATTTCTTCCACGCACTGCTCAAATAATTTTGGAATCGCAGACAGAATGCTGATGGGTCTGTAATTTGTTACATAATTTTTGCTGCCTGACTTGTAAATAGGACAAACGTAGGAGAGCTTCCACATTTCTGGAAAAATTCCAGAAGATAATGATTTGTTGAAAATATTAAATAGAGGAAGATACAAAGTGTTAGAACAAGATTTTAGTACTCTGTTGGGAATACCATCAGGTCCTGCAGACTTGTTGATGTCCAATTGCGGTAAAACCCTCTCAAAATCGGTTGGATCTATGACAATGCTTGAAACATTTTCAAATCGATCAGCAAAGGTTCCAGCGTCGAAATTTCTCTGAGGGTTATAGACGGAGGAGAAATAGACAGCAAAAAGATTAGCTATGTCATTACCGTTGGACGCCTTTTCTGAGGCAAGAAACATTTCGTTAGGAATAGTACCCTGATTAGATTGGGAGTGAATAAAGTTCCAAAAAATTTTCATATTGGTGCCTATGGCTCTTTCAGTATCACTTATGTATAATTTGTAGCACTCTTTGGTGAGGTTTTTACAATCCCTACGAAGTGTATTAACTGCAAAGTAATCCAAACCACTATTCGACGCTTGAATCGTTTGTGAGCAATTTTCTTTTGAAAAATCAGATTTTTCAATTCGTTAGAGAACCAGATAGGAAACTTGTCGCTGTAAGAATGTGCCTTTATGGGAACAAACATATTAAAGCAGCCGAGTAAAAGCTCTTAACCAATCAAAGAAAAGAAAATATTCATTAACTAAATCAAAATTGGCATTTTTAAAGTCATAAGAAAAATAATTAAGAGGCTTCAGAAATTTAGCTTTAACAACAGGTATGGAAAACTCTAGAGCTGGGTGATAACGATCACAGCCCACCAGACTGTCAGATGTTACAAGTGAAATAGGCCCAAAGTTGGCAAAGCATAGATCCAGGATTGAACCATGATCGTTAGCCACCCCATTGTATTGAGACAGATTAAGAGAAGCAGTACTATCGCATAACAATATTTCCTTAGTTGTCCTTACATTTCCAGGTAATAAACCCGAGAGATCCTCACTAGTGGACCACGTTATTTGGGAAAGATTATAATCACCAAGAACAAGCACATTATCAAACATTTCACAGGCACTAGCAATTGATTTCAAATAGTTTTCATAATGGAACACATCCATGGTAGGTGGAATGTAGACACAGCCAATACAGAAGACCATGTCACCCAGCGTCACAGACACCCACGTTTCCTCCACCGATGCTTCACCAATTGACAGGCGATGAGATTTTAGGCAATTATTTACTGCCAGAAGGACCCCACCTCCACGGCTTTTAGTACTGTTCAGACTGCTTCTATCAGAGCGATAAACCGTGTAACGCGAGTCAAGAAATTCGGCATCACAGATACTACAGTCTAGCCAGGTTTCCGTAAGTGCAATAACTGAGAAAGACTCGGCGCGAGCCGCACAGAAAGCATCTTTGAGTTTGGTTTTTAAGCCTCTTACATTTTGGTAGAGAAAGGTAGTACAATCTAACGAGACTGGTCCTCTCTGTCTCCTCTCTGAAAATTTGCATTGGACGGTTTTGCCACTTGCCTTGTTGAAAGCAAATTGAATTTGATTCATAAGGAATTGCAAATACCTAAATCCTATGAGAGATAAAATGATCTGCTGATGCTCGAAAACTTAAAAAATACCGGGTGTCGCATTTGAAAATCAAAAGTTATGGCCACTTCCGGTTAAACTGGAAGTGACTGGTAACGCAATTTACATCTAAAAAAGTCAAAAAGTTGCCTCGTTTAAGCTCCCCAACTCAACTTTTACACTAAACAAGTTATAGGTTGTTCCTCGGGTTGTTCCCTATTCCTTGTGTCACCCTGTATAGCTTGGAGAGTGAGCATCGCAAAATTTAACAAATTGAGATGTCACTAAGATAAGAAGCTAGATATTAGATATGTTTTCACTGGGAGAGAAGTTTTGAAACTTTTTAATTAGCACTCCCTGATTAACATTATCAAAGGCTTTAGCTAACTTTGATACAGCATCAACTTGGCACCCATCAGCCAGATGCCTTGCGGCATACTCAGAGAACACCCCAAGATTTGTGACTGTAGACTAACCTCCTTGAAACCCATGCTGTTTTGGTAGTATAATATATTTTACATGGTTATATATTTTATCATGTAGGATCCGTTCAAATATCTTTGACAGCACTCTAGTGTGCCTCTAGTTTTTAATGAGGTTTGTATGACCAGATTTTTAAATTGGAATTACCTTGTCAACTTTCAATATCTTAGGAAAACAGTTTTCTTTTAGGGATCTATTAATTGGGATAAGGATGCTTTAGTATCTCCGAAAATGCTTTGAAGAAAAATGTTGGCACACCATCCGTACCAGGAGATGCTCAAGGTTTTAGGGATCCAATAGTCTTCACATACATCCTGCTCACTTCACCTATGTCCATAGCATCTAAACCACAATCATTAACAGCTCCACAGTCATCCACAAAAGCAGTTTTATCATACATAACTTGAAATTATTGAGAAAATGGATTAGCAATTGAGGTGCTGTCAACAAAATTTTGATTTTCATGAGAAAAACTTGAGCAGGTGTTACTGTTTTTCCTTTTACTTTTCACAAAGTTCCAAAAATTACTAGGATTTATGAAATTATTACCCCCTATCTCCCTCAGATGTTTATTATAACAATATTTGATTTGTCGTTTAGTCTCTGTTCTCACGTAACAGTACTTGTCCCGATAAAATGCTTGTAATTTGGACGATTTCCTGAAGATTCTAAAGAAATACACTCGGAAATACATTTTTTCTTTTAATTCATGAATCAGGATCCTTTAAAAGCCATATGGAGAATTTATTATTGAGTAACTTAACTTTCTTTTTTGGTATGTCCTGTTGAAAAATATTATTTAAGATATTGTAAAAAGCCTCAATGCAACAATTATTATCTGTTGTATTTGACAAAACTGGCCAGTCTAGTTGTGCAAGTAAATGATACAGTTTATAGAAATCCCCCTGTGCATAATCCCACTTGATATTTTAGGAGATATTAGGATTTTCCCCAGAGATTTCCCGCATAACTCTAACAGAAAACTCAATTAGTAATGGAGGATGATAATTATCGATACTCACTAAGGCACTCTCAGGGCAATCCATGACTAATGCTTCCGTTATGTCAGTTAAAACAAGATCTAAATATTACCAGTGCAGTTCACACTATCATTCACAGAATATAGATCATATTGGCTCAACAATTTATTGACAATTCGGGCTTTGGAGGTCCCCTTTGAAAAATCATAAGTGCTATCTGTTACCTCAGAAGCGTTGAAATCTCCTACAAAAAACTGACCATCACAATTGTGAAGGGTATCTGCCTCAAGAGAATCAATGAAATCTTTATAAACACTAGAACTAGCATAACATGACATATACAGACAACAAATTAAAATCTTAGAACCTTGCTATTAAATTACTAATACAGAGCCATTGAAAATCAGTGGATATTCTTTTACATACCAATTGTGGTTTAAATTTCAGTTTTGCGTAACAGAGAACTCCACCACCCCTATTTACGTTTGATTCTGAGTAGTTTTTGTCATTTCTAAACACTATGTATGTACCTATTATCACAAATTTCATTGTCAAAGAAAGAATCATTAAGCCACGTTTGGCTAATGCATATTACTGACCAGTCTGATGCCAGAACATTCTCATAAAAAGTTAAAAGTTGAAATTTTTGATCTTGAGCCTCTTACATTTTGGTAAAATATGGTAAACTAAGATACTTTACCGCTTATATGGGAATCTGGTAGGTAGGGAATTGAAAAAATTATAATTTACTATGTTTCTGAGATGGTTTTCTTGGCGATTCCTGAAAAAAGTGACCGGCTCCCTCAGGCCACAATTCCTTCCTCCAGGCATTTTTTAGGTTATTTTTTTACCAATAGTAATTTTAACTGAATTGTATAAGTCTGGGTGTTTGGAATCGTGACGTTCACATTTTGCCTCTGGAAATATGTTTCGTAATGATGCCTCAAATTCCCTTATATCTATCTACATTTGGTCATAAACGGGTAACATGAAGTACTACAGTGTTTGGTATTGTCTGAATCATATTTGATGTTGAAAATATTTTCCATTTATCAGTATAGGAGGCCATGCGCTTATTGCTACAACCCTATTTTTATAGTGGGTGGTCAATGCATAACCAATCACCCTGATTATTCAAGCTGGTAAAGTTAAATGATTTAAAAAAAGCCTTTATTGATTTGAATTCTACAGCATTTTTTTATCTCTTCAGGCGATGAAGCATTGGATAAAGCAAAAGAATTAGTGGAACAGTACAGGAAAGGCAGCGAACCACCAGGAACTTCTGTTGACCAAGTGATTTACGCGAAGAAATTATATGAGAGCGCTTTTCATCCAGATAGTGGCGAGAAACAAAATGTTTTTGGTCGTATGTCATTTCAAGTACCTGGTGGTATGGCTATCACTGGAGCAATGTTACAGTGGTATCGGTAAGTACCCTTCATTGTATAAACATTGCATAAATATCGCATAAAATATTTCTAATTATTTTAGGACGCCATTCGCTGTAGTGTTCTGGCAATGGGTCAACCAGTCCTTCAATGCTTTAGTGAATTACACAAATCGTAACGCCAAGTCTCCCACCACCACAACTCAGCTGGCTGTTGCTTATCTGTCAGCAACATCTTCTGCCATGCTCACAGCATTGGGTTGCAAATATTACTGGCAAAAAAGAGCTAGTCCTTTCGTGCAAGTGAGTAGCAAAATTTGTTGATACTGTTGTTTTTTATTACAGATTTTATTTTCAGAGGTATGTTCCCTTTGCTGCTGTAGCAGCAGCGAATTGCGTAAATATCCCTCTCATGAGGCAAAACGAATTTCTGCACGGAGTCGATTGCACTGATGAAAAAGGCAAAATTGTGGGCCAATCCAAATTGGCAGCTGCCAAAGCATTTACTCAGGTAGAGTTTACTGAATTACCCTTGAAGTTCCTTTCATAATCATATATGCATTTAAAGTGAGATGTTTCTCCAAGTTTTTGAGTTTTACTGGTCTTCAGTGAATTTCTAAAAACGTTTTGCCCAAATTTTCAAAATAGATAGGAACCTTAATTAGTCTGACAATCTACCTAAATAAATCTAGCTAGATTTGTTCAGATGAGTGTGTAAAGCGAAAAAATGATGTCAAACTTCTCTTTTGAAAAATAGGCATTTAATAACAAGCTATTAAATGGAAACAATCTTTTTTATTTAGGTGATTGTATCTCGAATCATAATGTGTGCCCCAGGCATGTTGGTTTTACCTGTAATCATGGAAAGAGCTGAAAAATTACCATTCATGAAGAGAATTGTTTTTCTTCACGGGCCCATACAAGTTATGGGAGTAGGTTGCTTGTAAGTAGTTTTTGTCTGATAAAATCTTGTATAATACATAATTTCTTGTATTTTTTAGCTTATCGTTCATGGTTCCGACAGCATGTGCCATATTTCCACAAAGATGGTAAGTTGTTTTTTTTTTCAATAAACGGAACACATGGTGAAAATAAATTTAATCTAAACCTATCAAAAACTCACTATTCACTTGTAATTTGAAATTCAATTTTTAGCTCCATTAAAACTACAACGCTTGCTTGGCTGGAACCAGAGGCGTTTGGAAACATAAAGAAAAACTGCGGCGATAAAGTTCCAGAACGAGTCTACTTTAACAAAGGCCTTTAAATACATCGCAGACAATAATTCTAGTAATATTTAGTAACAAATACTTGGTAATAACTTCAAAGGAACTATACGTAAAACATTTAGAAGCAATTTTTCGCTTTGCTTGCTCCTAAGTTTATTTATGTACAACCGGGCCGCAAGGTACCTATTTGCTAGCGCAATTTGATACTTTTGGCCACTTGAATAATTATTTGGTTGTTTACTGTGGTTTCTACTGGTAATTTCTGAATACCTTTCATTTTTGTTTATTTTACTATTATTATTTATTTATAATTTTATCAAAAATTTTATTTGAGTCATATAATTACTCGCGGTTGTACATAAAATTTTGTATGTACCCCAGGCGCAAATGGTGTTTGAGGCCCTTTGTGTGGTTAAAACGGGCCGCAAACACCGTAATTGCGCCCTTGGTACATTACTATTTTGTTTTTTATTGCCAATATTTGGTTTATTTTTATTATGCTCAAAATAAATAATTTTTGTAAATCAAATAGTAGATAGAGATCAGGAAGCGTGGCAACCCATAGTAACTTTTCGACTCCATTTGTAAAAAATACTATACATTTCACATTGAAATCTTTATTGAAGATAGCTGATCTCTACCTACATGATGTGTTGCAAGTGTGACTTAATAATAAAGCATTGTATTTGCTAAGTGAAATAATTATAACAAAACCCTATTACGCTAAGTTTAACAAAAAATAATTATGTAAGGCTTAACTCAAATATGTTCATTTTAATAGCAATATGAATTATTCAGGTTAAAATTGTATACATATTATGGATATTTTTTTTTTTGGAGCAATAACTAATTTGTTAAGGATATTTTTTGTTCGTTGTTGAATTTACACGTCCATTATTTTGTTTTGTTAATTATTATTGTGTTGTTGATGTATACTTGAAAATAAAGATTTTTTCTTTTGAAAAATGTTTTGTTTCTTTTTATACCCATTGATTGCAAAATACTCTTTTTATCTTTCAAGTAGCTAGGTGAAATATATTTTCTTCCAAGGGTTTCAAAAACCACATTTCATACGAATTTCGCATTTTACGCAGATGTTTTGGGTTTTGTGCGGAATCATGACGGTAAATTGTACGGTTTCGTGCAGGATTGTAACAAATCTATAGTTATACTCTCTAAAGTGTAGAGAGACTACGTAATTCGTAATTGTGGTAACCACGCGGCTTGACTATTACCCCTCCAAATTGAAATAATCCCAAAAATATTTTTATGTGAGCGGGTTCGTATATAGGTGAAAAAAAATTGTGAATAATCTAGCAGTAGGTACTACAACACTTTAAATTACTTAAATTGAGATACTTATTTGTAGAGGACCATTAGCTTCAGGAAGTTGTCATTTCTTTTAACTAGTGCAATAGGTACTATTGTCTACTGCAGTGGTTCCCAAACTTTTTTCTTTTGCGCCCCCTTTCTGAAATCAAGAAGTGGTCGCGCCCCCTTCCTTCCCCTATTACACAAAATAGTATACTATTTTATTTACAATCATTCGAATTTTGAAATTTTCATTTGGATTAAAGCTAAAATAGCTATTTATACAATAAGTTACGAAATGAGCGTCTTTTAGGCACGCGACGTGAAAATTGTCCAACGAGGCAAAGCCGAGTTGGACAACACGTCGAGTGACTAAAAGACATCGTTTCGTAACGTATTGTATACAAGATTTTTTCTACTGGCATTTTATAATAAAAAAACACAATTTTATTTCATGTGAATAAGTCGATTACACCCAAAATCTTTGTTACCTGCTTTTACTTGACACCTGACACTTTTCATGCGATTTTCTTTTGAAAATTCGACATCAATAATTAAAATCCTAGAAAGTAGGTAATAACACAAAGTTCTGTTTTGAGTAACCCAAACGTTCAATTCAGTAATTCCATTTTCAATATTCATAATAAATACAAAACAAAATTCAAATATGTGTTTAGTGTGTTTTTTATTTCTGAATAATGAATGACACTTTTAGGCACTAGTGCTTAAAAATTACTTTTACGCACTCATAAGTCACTTTTACGCATTCAAAAGTCACTTTTACGCACTGAGTGCCTAAAAGTAACTTTCACGCACTCAGTGCCTAAAAGAATGTCGTTTCAAAACTGAAATGACAATCGAAAAGTTGCTATTATGAAACGTCAGTAGAAAAAATACAATAATTAACAATTTCATTTACTTTCGACCCGTGGGCCGAAAGTAAAAGTCAAAAAAGTGACATTTTCGAACTTTTTAAAAGTCAGTAAAGTCAACATTACATGTATGATTGTAAATAAAAATTTTTTTTTACTTACTGTAACTCCTCTGAACTGGACTTTGGAACAGGAAGAATGGACATGACAGTGGGCAGCGAGCGTGCGCTGTAGCAATTACTGTATTCCTTTTATACATCGAGTTACACCGAACGTGTCGCTCTAGAGCTCCTCGGAGTCACTCCAAAACACACAATTCAGAATAATTCAGATATTAGAGAGTTCTCGTGCTGTCCAAATTTCAAATATCGTAACGTTATTTGACAAGTATGACAGTTCTTACGGTATTAGCGTTAGCGGAGCCGCCCGATACCTAACGGGAGTTAGCGGATGCCTTACCGTAACGCTATGCTATGTCAAAATTAGTTTACGCTCCATTTACGTCTGTAAGAACAGCAACTTCTAATAATTCCTCGATAAAAAAAACCAAGGAAAAATTATTGAAACTCAGGAATCTTCAGGATAAATAAAAGTTGGCAAATAAGCAAAAAAAAGTTGGGTTAGATCACTCAATTCAGCTGTCAAAATGTAAACAGAATAAGGAATTAGAGGATTTTTGTGACTTCGCGTCCGAGAATTATTAATAGCATTTAAAATACCGTATTGTTAGCCGTACCGTATTAGCATCGCGTCTGAGGCACGAGAACTTTCTAATATCATTATACTTTAATATTGACATTACTAACGTGACCATACGTCCCGTTTTCAACGAGACCGTCCCTTATTTAGGCTCTCCGTCCCGGTGTCCCCAAGAAACACTGTGGGACGCAAAATTGTCCCGTTTTCCCAAACCCCACGGAAAAAAAAAATAATGGCGTAAAAAAACATATCAGTGTTGTATGTCATCAGTATGTCATAATCACGTCATAATATAAATCACATATAAATGTTTAATGCTTAAATTTCACTCCAGTGTGTCTGTGTCTATTCTCGAAATCGGTGAACACTGAACAGCGTTCTCACGAGAACGATTGCGCTGTCTTTGTCAGTGCTATGGAAATATAAATATGGGCGACTAAGACAGAACCTTCATTCTGATGAGAACGCTGTTCCCCAGTATCGAGAATAGACACCCAATCAGGACTAGAGTGTTCGGTGAATGGCTTACTTGGTTCTCGAACGCATCAGCAGAAAGGGTATTTTCTTTGATGAACAATGAACAAACTGTGGACGACAGAAAAAACCGAGTTACAGGTCTCGGTTCTTAAGGCAATGTTGATAACCAACAAGGTTAAGATTTAAAAAACGTGCCAAGAATTTTAGCTCTGTTCCAAACGACGTGAGAACCGTTTTAGAACCAGCAATTTCCAGTTGCAAACCTATTTTTCAATAAGTTGAACCTCGAGTTGAACGTTTTTCCTACCTGACAAATGAATTGATCGACTGGAAATTATCGTTCTGATTCTTACATGGTGACTTGGGTTTAGTGATGAGCGATACCGTGATTTTCAAATCACACTGTTAACTGATACCGTGATTTTTGAATATCAGTGATTTTAAAGCGTGACTAAATCACAACTCCCAATATATTTTAGTACAACTGAAACTGGATGCAGACAGATGCTATTTTTTTCCTACTAGCGGTTGAGATATTTGGCAGCTTTCTACCAAATATCGCGGCAGCAAATCACGACAAAATGGATTTTGCGGTGGAATTTGGAATTTGAAATTACAAAAACAAAAAATTATTCTCGAAAGACAATAAATAGTTAGCTACGGTGCCGTGATCACGTCACGCTTTTTATGGAACTTTGGTAGCAGACGTGATCCGTGATTTTTAGATATCAGTGATAAAATCACAGTTCGTGATATATCGCTCATCACTACCTGGGTTCTTATTCTTAAAACAGGGAAGCAACGTTTCCAGGAGAATAAGTGTTCCATCTTTCTAAATGACATGCAAATGATATCTAATATAAGTACCTAACAAAGACAAAACACTCGTTCTCCTGGGAACGCTAATCCCCGGTTTTTGTTTCTAGAATAAGGACTGGTGATGATTTCAGGGTCCTTAATTCTAGAAACATCAATGGAATCAGATTTGTTCCTCTGAGAAATACAAAAACACCTGAGCAATTATGTTTCATACCAATACTTATTTAAATTTGTAGTGCTATTTCAATAAATAAAATAATAGCTATTTATATAACAAGTACATAAAGTAAGGCTTTATTGTACGAATAATTTTATGGCCGAGCGAGCTTGCGAGCGAGGCTATTAAATAATGAGTCAATAAAGCCTGTCTATGTAAGCATTATATACACGATTTTATGTACGATTCTGACTGGTTTTTGTTAAAAATTAAAAAAATTGAATGAAAAAAGTAAAATTCGCGTAGATACCTGTTTCACCTTGGCCGGTTGTCAGGACCTGTTTCACTTTGGCAGGTTGTCAGGACCTGTTTCACCTTATCAGGTAGTCCAGGTAGGCAATAAAGTAGCACTTTATTTTACTAGTAAAATAAAGTAGCACTTTATTTTACTAGTACAATAAAATGCTACTTTATTGACGCAAAACTGTTCTATAAATAGCTCTTTATTGGTCAATCGGACATAAAACTTATTTAAGAATGTGCTTTTTCTATTGTGAAACTGATAATTGACTTGAATAAGCGTTTGTCCACAAATAAATGGTCACGTTAAACAATACCTAAAAAAGCTTATTGCACCCCCCGCAAATTTGCTGCATCAGGGGAAAGGGGGATGCACTATGAGCGACTCGAGTGCTTTCACGCACTTTTGAAAGGAACGTTCACGCTTTTGACACCAAGCAGCTCCGAGTAACTCAACGGGTAAAAGGAATAAAGCCTAGTTCTCATGGTGCGGGATTCCGCATTGTGGGTCCGGAAATCGCAGTTTTTTGAAAATCGTAATTTTTGATGGTTCACATGAAACGGAATTCCGGATGCGGTTTTATGTCAAATACATGTGATCTTAACCTAACATATTTTTTGTTTTTGTTTTCCTGTGTGCCTGGATGGATAATTATATTGCAGAATTAAATTATTATCAATGGAAAAGACAGGGGGAGGTATGAAAAAAAACAAAGTATCTGTAACACAAATCTTATGTAAATCCGGTCCCAGTAAAAACGGCTGAATTTTTTATATGTTGTAGTTTATGATGTGCTGATCAATTGCTCTCAAGGCCACAAAAAAATTTATCGAGCCGTTTTCGAGATATGAGTTATCAAAGTTGGGATTTAATGATATTATAGTAAATGGCAAATAAATGTCAAAAACTATTTTTCCATATTTTGTAACGTACTTTTTCACCAAATAAGTAAAACACAATAGACACTTTAAGCATGTCCTGAATTTCAAACGTATCCGTATCCGCATCGATCTGCGCATGCGCAGAATAGATACGGAGGTTTCGTTGCGTTGCGTTGTTCGTATTAGACACTTTAAGCAGGTCCTGAACTCCAAACGTATCCGTATCCGCAACCATCTGCGCATGCGCTGAATAGATACGGTGGTGGCGAGGCCCGTAACGATACGCACAACGTAACGCAACGAACCAACCGTATCTATTCAGCGCATGCGCAGATCGATGCGGATACGGATACGTTTGGAATTCAGGAACTGCTTAAAGTAGGGACATAAAGCTACTTGAAATAATTCGCCGGTATCGGTATCGGTATCCGTAACGCAACTAGATA